CATGTACATGCTTATTTGTTATTTTCTTAGTTGCTTTCTCTTTCCTCATATTTAAAAAAATGTTTTATACATAATTACGTCCAGTTAAAAAATGCATTTCGGTACGTACGATGTCAGTCCCTTTTTGTAAACAGTGTTGGGCTGATAGCGAATATTTTGTTATATCATTGGCTGTGTTTGGAAAATTGTGTTATTATGTTGTTACAAATGCAAGCAGCGCCTACCCCCCTCATGTAATGCGTCCTCAAAGACGCCCTTGAGGTAAATAAATCAGATGAAATGAAAAATGTTCGCGCGTAGCTTGTAAAATTATGAAAACGGAAACAGTTTCTCATCATACATTCATGTCCGCTACGCAAGCCATGCGGGGTATGGCGAGAGCTTTTTCCGAAAACAACAGTGATTTTGCTTTCAAGATTATTCGTATGAAAGACATCACACGGTTATTTTTCCACGTGTAGAGAAAAGAGTACCCGGTGATTTACGACGCTACGGTGTGGACCATTGCAACAGCGTTCATCGTTTGGTCAGTTCCTTCCTCGTCGTGCTGTTGTGATTGTTGCAGCTTCAGCTACCACTGTCAGATAGGCTCCCTTGTGATGGTAGCAAAAGAAATGGCTAGAGTATTTCAAAATTTAGCTGTTCGTGATGATGTTTTCTTACTGACTCACAGCAACATTTTATATCACAAACTCGTGGAAAATTGTTTAACTATTTGTTTTTATTTCGCGAAAGACTCTGGAGGTTGTGTCATATTTAATGCGAGTCTGAACCGTGAGTGTCTGTTAGGTTACTCTCCAAGCGGAAGTTAAACAATGACTACGACGAGAAAAAATAAAGACATTCAGAATTACTATTATTCAAACTGCTGCTCTTGCACGTGCCGTTTGTAAGAAATTGCGAGTCAATATAAAAAGCTGACAATCTATGTCTGTGCATGTTCGTCTTGTAGCTTTGCATCTACAAGGCGGAAGGTCTGACACGTTGATGTAATTTTTGGCGTTTCATTATATTGAAGTTTTACGTGGCTCGGTTGTGAGTTGGTGTGCTTTTCATGATTATTGATGCAGGACATGGTAATTCCGGGGAAAGTAAAGGTGCCTTCATGTCGCGTTTGTAAAAGCTAGGAACCCTCACATAAAAACGACGTAACTTATTCGGGAAATTTTATTTAATATATCTTCAATTTTTTTAAAACGCTTTGCCACCACAACCATTGCGATTATCAAAATTATCAAAAGGATCAAAATAAGAGAAGGTTGTAATGAAACATTCTAGAAAACTTATTGGGTTCACATATGAATTGCGCACCTGTCCACTTCTAGGTGTGGTATTAAAACTAAAAAAATGGCGTAGTAACATTGAAGTAAATAGTCAAAATGACGGAATTGCGTGCACTCATATTTGTTTCTATTTAAAATGGGGTAAAAGGGGCTGTATGCCAATTCTTAGTGGGATAAACGTGCTTCTCCTAAAAAAAAAAAATAATCACCTGAAGCGCTCTCAGAATATCCAGAACTGTAATTTTGATGAAGTTTAAAGTATTACAATATGCGCGTCGAAACTAGCTGCAACAAATGGCGTGATAATTTTGTTACAGAAATTGAGGAATACGGAGGGCTTCCTAAAGACTTGTTCGGTTTCAGTCTAGATAAAGTTTCTTATTCTTTTGTCGTGCTTACTAACACTTAACACACCACTACATTTCAGATTTACCAGAATGAGCCCTGGTACTTTCGGAAGCGCATTTTTCGCAGGTACCTTACACTGACATAAGAAAAAGAACGCGACAGCATTCAATTTGTGAACGGAAACCAATGTTTTCTATTACATATTCTGGAGTTTGTATACTATGACACGTGCAATGAGTTTTATAGGTGCATATACAATATGCCAGTTTCACTACAATAACTTTCTCACCGCACATATTTGTTTGAAAAAAATATCAAATTATATCATTCACGTTGTGATTTGTTTGGTGAAATTATCGCAGCATCCTATATACCTTTCTTAAAACACAGTCAATGAAAACACTGAAAAGAAAATTACTAAATTTATTTATCGTGTCTTCCATGAAAGGCCCAATACACATAAACCTAGTTTTATCCTGCATGCAAATAAACATAATGTACTTTTTTGGCGAAACAACCGCCATAATTGCCTATAATTAACTATAGATAGGCACTACTTTACCTAATTTATACGCGATAACTTTATACATGTATATTATTTTGTTATCTACAGGAAATACCAATCCAGATGTGGGCGGTGCAAAAGGCAGTAATCTAATAACCTAACCTACAATACACTCTTTTTGTTTTGTATGATGCGTTGGCATTATATATATATTTTTAAAAAGTCCGTGCCTACGCCAGTCCGCCATTGCTTTAGCCCCGAGAGCGAACACAAGCGTCGCTGCGGTCGCCGCGCCCTGATTGAGTGAGGTGTACCGTGGCGTCAGGGGGATGACTCCGCTCCGCGATCTCGCATCGGCTCGCTTCCCAGCACCGCGAGGCCACATTCTTGTAAAACAGTATGATTGAGAAGAGTTGGAATCAAAACTCGAGTATTCATACCGGTCAAGATTGAAGAGAATATCAACCTCTCTTGGGTTATATTAAGATAAACAAAATATTGAAAGTGTGCCTCTCATATTACATCCGCCTAACAGCAATTCAGTTGCCTATCACAAATTCCTCTGCAATATCTCTTGGCTATCGCATCTGCTGTGAAACGCATTCACATTTCAAATAAAGTTTAAGCTGAGCTTCGTTCTTTAAACAGGACTTCCATTTGAGGTGTGTATATTAAAGCGAACAATTCAACTATGTTTTTTTATGTTTTTTTCATTTTTCAAAGTATTTATACATTTTTAAAAAAGACATCATCATAGTACTGGGTCAAGTTTGGAAAACGTTTGCCTAATAAAGCTGATTCACCTATAATGTAGAGGCACAAAAACGATGCAGTAACATAGCGGTTTTTTTGTCATCACCTTTTGTATCTTCATCCCGATTACTCTAGAAACCTCTTTTTTTAAACGGCCATCTTTGGTTTACAGGTTACCGAAGACAATAAAAAAATCATGACAAAAATATATTTAAAAAAGTGTATTCAGAAGCTATGCTAAAATTAGTATACAACATTTCGTTTTCGAAAAATAAATAAACTAGTATATCTATTTGCGGCTTTCTGTTCTGTTTGCACAAGCTATGATAAAACTTACTTTCGATATCCACCCATATATTGCTGGGGAAAAAAATAGCCCCTAAAACATTTCGTTCTAATCAAACACTTTGTTTTGCGGCAGACTCAGTCAGGTGAAAAGTGGCAGAATATGCTTCTAAGGTTACTTCTTTTCACTTCAGAAGCTGCATATGAATCCTCCGAATTCGCAGTATCTTAGTAAGTTTATTTTTGTTGTAGATGATAGTGAAAGAAAGCAGTAAACGTGCCTATTGTCTGAATGGCTGTTGAGAGATCTACCAAACAAACGTAGAGGAACATACATAAGAATTGTGCAGTTACGTCCAGCCATGAGTGCTCAAACAATTAAAGGGTGATACAAAAGTGTCACGTAAGCTTCACATCGTCAGAAACTGTAAAAATATTTGCTAAATATTAAATCTTTAATAAAGACCGGTCACTGGCCAAGTAACAAATATCACATGACTTGCTCAACTAGCCTGAATTGTAACTTTACTATTCACAGTGAAATTCTTCATACTTTTGTGCGAAATTACCCAATAACTGCACGGAACTTATTCTCATCAGTGGCTATTATTTGAAAGCAAAGCATAGAGTTGTAAGTGATATGACAATGCCCCAAAGAGGACGTGGTTTTGATGTCACGTGCTCTTTAGGCTTGCGACTCGTTATAAACTTTCGTGTTCTCTAGACAGCGCGAAAACAAGATATTTCTGTGCGTTTTTGAGTTTTTTACAGCTGTTGGTTCTTTTTTATTATCTGTCCAGCAGCAAGTTAGAGCTTTCCCGTCAATCGTGAAAGCAACTTATCCTGCCATACCCTCTTATTCTTGTTACTCCTAAAACAATGACACCACAACCACGCCTACCTCTTTGTAGACAATCTTTTGCGCACTAACGACTAATTTGGGCGCAGCTTTTTTCGTGGATTCATTTCAGAACTCGGGGATAAAACCGGTAGTAAAGGCATATTGCATACGATGTATTTGCCATGGAGCTGAAGATATGGTGTATAAATGTTTGTCTCTTCGATACGCTCAATGTAGAAGGTGTCCTCCCAAAAAGGTTTAGAAGGTTTTTTTCAACTCAAACATAAACCACGCATTGCCGAACGCTCGTTCTCTACCAAAGCGTAGTGCAAGAGATGCAAACCAGACGCCAGTTTTAGCACTTACTGTTATCTTATTCAAAAGTTACGTGATTTTCTGACGCTTTCATTGGAAAAATTAGGCACATTTTCGCCCGTTTTTGGTAACTGGCGCCCATGGAGCTCCGTGTATTCGAGAACACGTCGGCAGTCATTTTACCACTGAACACTTGAGAACTTCAATCATACTTTTGAGGAGCTAACGGTTAGTGCTGAGACTTTGGGATCTAGTTCAAACCTCCAGCGCTGCATTTATGTGGAGAATTATCGCTCGGCGATGAATAGTGTATTTTTGCGATAAAAAACAAACAAAAAAACACCTCGTAATTTTTTTCGGCGGACACCCTGTATCTACTAAATTATGAAGTTGGAATGTCATAAGATGTATTTGATGGTATTTAAACGAGGATAAAATATGTTCCAACTTCAACCACTCCGTGAAAGAGAGTCAACTGAGCAAACACTCAAATTGTACGAAGGCGAATCAAAATATTTTTGTTGCTTAAAAAAATTGGTTGACATTAATGAGGTTCTGGTTTGTTAACGTATTAAGTTGAGTTTTGATAGTGAAATCTCTGTGGGCTTCTAGCGAGCCAAACTATAATTAATTTTTGCATGCCTGACCACGTAACCCCTTTCCCATCAAGTGCTCGACGCAACGGGCAAGTACCCCACGGGGCTGTTCCAAGGAACGCTGTCGGACATCGGGGCCTTCGATCAGTGCATCGAGACCGTGATATACGACGACTATGGCAACGAGAAAGTCAGGGCGCAGTACTGCAATCTGTACATAAAGTTCGGCAAAGATCTCTCCATTTTAGAACATGTGGACGACATGCTTCGCTTGTCTCACAGATGGGTGAGTTCACCTTCGGTTGTTTCGCTAGAAAGACAGTCAGGTAATAGTCTTCAAATCTCTCAGCATTCGGGGCATGCCATTGGACGGAAACTAGGCGCTTTCGTTTTTCCGATTCTGTTAAATAGTATGAAATATTATGTGTAGAATAAATATACAAACTGTGCGGTTTTTCTATTCGCTCACCTATTAATTGACTTACTTGTTTTCTAACGCTAATTTTATTAGATTTATTTTTTACGAAATTATTAACACCGTGACTTCATTTCTGTCTTTATCGCAAGTTTCTTCCAAATTACACACTCAGTAATTACACGACCGTATCATTTAAAGATGAATCTAAACAGTGTTGATATTGACAAACCAATTGTTTTTTTTAATATCCGTGGCTAACGAATCTTGCATAACGCGAATTACAGGCCTGAACTTATTAGCTTGGCCCGGTGGAAATGGTTCTCAAGGTCTGCTTATACCTACGTCCACTTAGGCCTCGTGCTAGATTTAATGCATTAAGAAGTCCATAAACTTCCTCCCTTTAAATCACGACATACCTGCATATTATGCTCCTCATTGTATCTAGGCTTTTCCGCAAAATGTTCGGATTGTTTCGTTCGGGCACTTCTAAATCTCATTCCATGAGCTGAACATTCCGGAATAATATTATGAAATACGTCTTGAACGCACGTGATGCCCTCTGCGTGGTGGTTATCTACATTGGTAAAGCGTCCTTGTCTTCAATACTAAGCGCGCAAATTGCATCAAAGCATGTTCAATTTTTTGTTTGTTGTTGTTGTCGTTGTTTTTTGTATTGCGATAGCGATAAAACATCACTCTATCCGATCACCAAGAAAAGATGTCTCGAGGTGCATAAAAAAATATAGTATCACGGATTTTTTTTCCGATTAAGCCTCCATGGAGCCAACCTTGATCCATTGAGTACTAAAGATCACTGCTCTAATCCTGACATACAAAACGCAGGTCGCCAATGTTGGGCGTCGGAAATAGCTTGTCGATGAGACTGGATATTAGAATTTAGGTCATCAATTAATTCATCTATATTAAATTTTCGGCTCGGGGTTCGTTGATTTTTGTTTGTTGCGAGCTCTGGTGTCTGTTACATAGTTTGGCTTTCTAAACTAAGTATGCACACAAGCAGTTTTTTAATGTTAAAAATGCAGGAGTACAGAAATGAAATTAATTGCGCCAATTTTCTAGCCTTCTCTGCAAAAATGAGTCAAATTGATATGTAGTCTAAAGCTCTCATGGAGCAGCGAAATCGCACTTCACTTCAAAAATAAAATGGCACGCAACATTTTGATATAGAGCATAAACGTCAGGAGTGTTCCAAAAATATTCACATCGAATAGGGCGGTGTTATCCTTAGATTGACTACTGCATAGGGAGCCGGTGAGACGCAGCACTAACTTACACTTCAATCACTATTAATATTATTTCAAACTAATTCAAACTATTCACTGTTCAGACAAAGTTAATAAGCATATTTCAACGTATTATTAAACAGATTCAAAATATACCATCAGCAGGAGTAGAAGAGTTCATATGATCAGCCCAGTTCGACGTACTAAGACCTTTTCTGCAGAATAAACAACTTTAACAAAAACATTGCGTCTATATTCACACAGACCACTTCAAAAGCCATTCTCTGCAATCGAGCGACATAAATGGATGAATGATTAGGCCAAACTTATGTCTGGACATAAGAGCAAAGTTTGTAAAGTGATAGCCTCACTAACGTTAGCATGTCAGGCGTGATGTTGAGCGAGCGTCGCTTCGCAGATGTCACATCAAGGCCGAATTGAAACTGCGCGGCGTCATCCTGAGCTTCTATAATGAAAAAAAAAAATCCGTATTTCGTAGGTTTTTCTAGCAGAAAGGTTTTTCTAGCAGAAAAGGCTGCTTATGACCCGGCGCTATATGATTCTAACTACTATTCGTACACAACTAGTGCAAACATATTTCATAATGCGTCATTCGCCGAGGTTCATTAGATCCCAGTTATTTCGTCTCTACCTACTTCGAAAACAAGAAAAAATTATTACAAGAAATTTTTAGTTATCGATGAGTAATTATAAATACTATTCCTAAATTTAGGCAGATGCGTTTAAGGCTAGAATTGCCGCGCCATAGGAAACTTCCCACAGCCCCCTTCGAGGAACTAGAATCAATACACTCTGCACCACACATCTAACGACAGCAAAATAGCCGCTCAACTGTACTAGAAAAAGGATTTTCGTAAAATAGGGACAAAATCACGTGGTGTACGTAAGCCTCGACAGATTTCAATTTTATTCGCTCATTCTTTTGTTTTGTTTAGTTTTATATCTAATTTATATATGTCATAACCTTTTTGGCTTCGCCGCAGATTGGGACCTACACTGCCCCCAAGGTTGTTATTTTTTTTCTTAAAAGTCATAGTTGGAATTTCAAAAAAAGCCTGCCACGTCACACGCAAAAAGAACAACAAAACTTTGTTACATATTGTGCAAGAGATAAAGCTATTGAATGGACGGTGCTAAGAGGAATGACGTCAATTCATTTATTTAGATATGTGCATTTGACAACTCTCGGTCGGTTTTGTTGAAGAGCTGTTCAGGATAATGCGTACGCTCGATCGCTCTTACCAGAAAAATCACCGGTTTGCTATGATGTAAGCCTTTTGGTTTAATAGGGGTTTGAACGAATCTTAATAGGGGTTTGAACGAATCTGAAAGCTGTAAATGACGCACAGCTGTTCAATTTACTCCCAATTCGCAAACATCTAAGAGTGAATTTATCGAAAAATGATTTGCGTCCTACCATTAAGGCCTGCGATCTGAAACGTCGCATGGCGTGAGCAACCTTAACACCATGTTTGGTCACGTTCTTTATACTTAAGTGAAAGCTTTTACCAGCCTTTTTATAACCTAGCTCCCTAAAAATGTCTCACTGATATTGTATTTTGGAGCTATCAGTATAAAACACAGCGCACGGACGTTTTTGGGGTGGATGTTTTCGATACTATTAGAACTAAGGACAGAATCTCTGGATGGTTAGATATCGTTCTTCTGTTTCCCGGTGGCGGTTTATTTGACACACTCTCCAAAACAAAACGTATGGGTTGAATCAGGCTCCTACTTATTCCGCTATACCCCAAAGAATTGATTTTAATAATTACGAAATACATATGATATAACAGACGCTGCACTGTGGTAGACGATATGTATCCAGCGAGTTTCTTAATGTATTGCGTTATTTCAGCATAATGCCTGCGTCAAGCCTAATCTCTTCTCAATCATGCCTTGCAACTTTATCATGCACAAGTATCTTTTAGTTCAACAAAACCTAGAATAGAGATAATAAAAGTGGACGGTATAATGACGTTACACGTAAGATCAGCATTTACTCAAACATTCAAATCTAAGTATTTTCGCGGCATTATAATTTAGGTCATCAAATTTTACTTCAATAGGAACCTCATATTAGGAATGTGAAATAAAATACAGAAATTTGCGGAACATGAAATGATCCAACATTTAAGACATAGCCTGAAACTTTCATTAAGAAGAAAAAACAAAAAACCACAAAAAAACATAACCTCACACGAGACTTAACGCGTTGGTTTCAAGCTGTATAAATATTCACAATTTAGATGCACAAATTAAACGCAACCATTATATGTTTTGTAGTGCCTAGTGAATTCTAGTGATGGGCTTTTTCGCTCCCAGTTTTTTCACCAGCTTTAGCTTAAACATATAGTGTTTCCTGACATTAGCATTACTATTGAAGGGTTCGAGGAGGGAAAAAGTGAGAAAGAAATAGCGATGGGAGTCGCCTTCCTTGTCTGTTGCGAGTAACGGCGAGCTTGCGGCAATTGGAACCCTTGGCTGTAGCTCTTAGGCGGTGTTTTTCCCAGTTGCGAGCTCTTTTAAAACAGGATAGGTGGTCGAATACGAGCCGTCAAGTAAAAATATGTTCGCGGCGCATCCCAGGTGAGACGTAATGTGCTACCGCCACACATAGACGCGTTTGTTGAAAGATTGTCGATATTAACAAGATCGTTTATGGCCTCTCAATAATACTTCAGGTCGCCAGATGACTCGCGTATCAAGTATAATACAAGGACTTCGTTTTTCCTTCATCCTTTCTTTATCGCAAACGGTGGGTTTGGTTCTTGATAAGAGCTAAATCCGGTGAGAAAAAAAAACACAAAAAACACAAAAAAACAAGATGTTAGAGACTAAACCGTATTTTTTGCACAGTATATGCTCGCTTAATGGGCTACTCTTCGTGAGTGTTATATTTCTCTTAGAATCAAAATATTACAACTTGAAAAATTTATTTTCGGTAAAAGAAGGAGCAGAAATTCAAAATGCATTACTTTAGCGAACATCAGTTTAGAGGGGTACTATCCTACTAAACAGATGGTGGACCTAAGGTAAAACTTCGCTTTACCTTAGGTCCAGGCACAGCTAACGCGACAAGATGATGGGACTAATCAGGAACCGTCAAAAGCGCACCATCATGTTGTTTGTCATGTTTCTCTGCGAGTTCCATCATGGCTGAATCAATCATAAACAAAAAAGGCTTAGTGACTTACCCCTTTGATGATGCTTGATTAGCCCGTTTCATGATAAGGTCGGCCGCGTCTGGATATTACCTGAAACCTAGTTTCACACTGCTTAGGAATGAGGGCCAATAATTTTTTTCAAGACCCCAATCAATCCTTAACTGTAGCGCGTTGTTGACAAACCTGTTACTTTGGGATCGGTAACGCTCATTTTTGTCAATATTGACTGAGATTCTATATTAGCAGCTGAAACTTAGTTGTTAGACATCTGTTGAGACACGTTAATGGAGTCCTTAACTAAAATACACAGTTATGCATTAGGCCTGAACAGCTTCCCCTTGAAACATCACAAATGACAGCCTCACTCAACTGCCCTCATTTGGTACATCAGTTAAGGTTTGCTCTCTTGCTTTCACGAAAACATATGGACGACAGG